GGATTATGGGATTACAGGTGTGCCCCACCCCACCCAGTTTAGATGAATCTCTTAAAATTGCACAAAATAGGCTGGGACTGGGGCTTGGTGACAGAGTGCTTGCCTAACCTAGAGAGCTCTGAGTCCTGGTGGGCCCTGAGTTGAATTCATTCCCAGTAGGACTAAAAAATAAAAGAAAAAAAGTGGTATAATTTCAATGTGATTATGAGGCCTAACTATCCCAGTCAGTTTTTTTTTTTTTTTTTAAGTAGAAGACTTGATGACAAAAATTAAGGAAGGCAAGCCTAAATTCCCAATATAAAAATCAAATTTTAAAACTTTTTCCCCATCATAGAATGTCTCCTCAAAAAAAAAAGTAAGGGTTTAATATACTCGGAGCATGGATTTTCTTTAGTATATTTCTCAGCCATAGCTCTTCCATTCATAAGTTGGAGTCATTGCAAAATTAAATAGGTGATACTGTTTTTTTTTTAAATGTGCTTATAAAGCGATCAAAGTGTAGATTCCATGTGTGTGACATCTGAAAATCATATTTTTCACTTAATCTTTCCGATGTTTTAAAAAGAGAATTCTGCATACATGTGATTCCCCCCAAAAAGCTGAATCAGCATGAGATCAGCATTTTCAAAGTTGGTTACCTTCAAAGAGGTAACGGTGCCCCCTAGCGTTCAGTTACCGGAACTGCCAAGGCTACTATTTTAAAATCGTTCTGCAATCCCAGGTTCCACAATCAGTACTGTTTTGATACTGGGAATTGAACCTAGGGGAAATTTAGCTCTGAGCTACATCACCAGCCTTGTTTACTTATTTGATTATTTTTAAATTTTAAATTATAAGACAGGCTAAATTCCTTAGGTCCTCACTAAATTTCAGAGGCTGGCCTCAAACTTGTGGTTCTCTTGCCTCAGTCTCCTAAGTGGCTGGGATTACAGGCATGCACCACCACTCCTGGCCTGGATTTTCTTAATGAATATAGATTTTAGACTTTACTGAAGAGAGAATGGTGCTAGAAATTTTGATTAAGAACTGGACATAAAACCCCTGAGTTTAACATTTATGGGCCCCCAGAGTACAGCTGTGCTTTTAGAACCCAAGATCATTTCTAGAAAGCACAATTGTAAAACTTACCAAACCATGAGTTGTATATATATATATATATACATACATATATGTACGTTGGAAAACTAAAAGTTCAGGTAAGAATTCTCATTCCTTCTGAAACCCGTTCATTCCTACAGCTAAATCTTGGTTTAAAGTATGCCAGGAAAGGGAGACACCCAGATTTAGAGATCATTTTGGAAGAGTGGGACTATGAGTTATTCCTTTCTAAAACACTATTTTCCCAAATCAATAATTAAAGAAACTATTTCTGATTTTTTCCATTGTTGTTTCCTTTTTGTTATAATAAGCAAATTACAGCTGACACAGTGAGGTCCATCTGTAGTTCAGCTATTCAGAAGACTAAGGCAGGATGATGTCAAGTTCAAGCCTGAACAACTTAGACTGTATCAAAACATAAAAATAAATAATTATAATGTAAATTAAACATTAAGTTGCCCCACAAAGTTCTATGAGCTAGGACTTCTTGGCCTTTCTCCCCTGCACCCCTGAAGTGGGTCAGGCAGTGCCAAACCAAATTTCTGCCATTTATGGAGGCCTTGGGAAGTGTGATCTGGAATGTGAGGGCAGGAGAAATCTCCAGGGTGGAGTGGGATCAGTGATGTTCTTAGATTAACATAAAAAAAAATATATCATCATTCCCTGCATGACAGGATAGAATTAAAGCCAATCTCAAAGAAAACATTTTCAAATTTTCTAAAACATTTGTTAAGTGTATAAATTGGTGATACCTCTTTTCTCCCATTTTATAAACAAAAATAAAAATATTCCAAAAAATATATTTAAATTTGATATTTGAAGGGTAAATTGGTATATAATCAGCGACTGTTGATGAGAGGAGGTTTCTACAAGATTGTTTATGGAGATCTCTATTTTGGACACACCTAATCAATCATCCAATCAATCATCCATTCAAGACTATCAAAAGCTCCAAGAAATGCAATCTTTTGGAGAAAATGGGTGTGGTTTCTGGGGCAATAAAAGGACACTGCAAGAGCCCAACTTGTTCTTCTCCAGAACTCACAGAGTGCCTTTGGGACTGGCTGAGAGATTTCGGAAGTCTTCCACTACCACACAGAGGCCCTGATCCCTGTGTGGATTTCATATTATTACTCCTGCAGCAAGTATTGGTGAGCCCAGACATATTTCTTAGGTGAGTATACAGAAAAGCAGTTCCTGCTACTTTCCCATATCAAAGCAAGCAAATTTATGAATTTTAATTATCAGTAAAATGAACTTGTTTTCTGTGAAGTGATGTAATTTGCTTTCTTAGTAATGACTAGACTGCTGTTTGTTGTCTTGTTGCATGCCTTGGAATAAATTTGATGATTAATTTTACATAAATAATTTATGTATTCCATTGTTGTTACTATGTATTAAAGGAACAAGTTTACATCCTCACAAAAGTGTACAACAGTTCCTTTTTCTTACATCCAGAATTTATTATTTGTTTTGTATTCTTGATGATTGCCATTCTCATTGGAGTGAGACTCACAAGTTTAGTTTTGACTTGCATTTGCCTGAGGGATAAAGATATTAAAATTTCTTTCTTTTTTCCTTCCTTCCTTCCTTCATTGTGTGTGTGTGTGTGAAGAGCAGGAGAGTACTAGAGATAGAACCCAGGGGTGTTTTACCAACTGAACTATATCCCCTGACCTTTTGATTTTTCATTTTAATACAGGGTCTCATCAAGTTGCTTAGGCCCTACTAAGTTGATTGTTGATGGGCTTGAATTTGTAGTCCTCTTGCCTCAGATTCTCTAGTCTCTGGGAGTACAGGTGTGCACTTGGTGAACACTGGGCATTTTTTCATATAATTGTGGGTCATTTGTACTTCTTTTGGGAGCTGTATGTTCAGTTCATTAGCCTATTTATTAACTGGGTTATTTGTTTTTTATAATTCTTAGATTTTTGAGTTCTTTCTGTTCTGGATATATATATATATATAATCTGTGGGAAGAGAGGTTGACAACAATTTTCTCCGCTCAGTAGTTTTTTTTCCACTCCGATGTTTCCCTGTTGTGCAGAAAGCTTTTAATTTGGTGCCATCCCATTTACTGATTCTTGTTCTTATTTTCGGATCTGAGCAGGTCCTATTCAGGAAGTCCGCTAAAATGCATTCTGCCAGAAAGCACTGCTTGTTTCCTGGTGGCAAATAAGTTAATTATGTGTTTTTCCAGTGTGATAGGTATTTGGTAATGATTTTAATGACTTGCTAGATATACCTATTTGTTGTAATTTGTGCATTTTTTTTTATTACAAGAGTATAGATAATAAAGATAGGAGAGTACCACAAGAGGTTAGTATATTCCTGTTAGTAAGATTTTGGCTGAAATCTGATTCAATTTTGCAATGTTAAGCTTAATCATCAGCCCTTAGGTATTTATTTATTTATTTTTATGTAAATTTTTAAATTTATATATGACAGCAGAATGCATTACAATTCTTATTACATATATAGAGCACAATTTTTCATATCTCTGGTTGTATACATAGTATATGCACACCAATTTGTGTCTCATACATGTACTTTGGATAGTAATGATCATCACATTAACCCTTAAGTATTTAGAAATTGTTTTGGGATAGTGAATTCTAGTTGAAATAATAATAATAAGAAGTAATAATAATAGTAATAATATCTAAGGAGATATTTAAATAAAATAATTAAAGTAATAGTTCGATGGTAGGGGCATTTCTTTCTCTTTCTTTTTCACTTTTTTTTTTTTTTTTTAATACAGTGCTGGGAACCAAATCCAAGGCCTCTGCCATTTTGGGCAAGACTCTACCACTAAGTCCCTAGCTTTCATATGCCCTTTTCTATACCAATTATGGGCAGTGAGCAATATGATTGATGTTAAAAGCATTCAGAATCCACATTATAAAACTCTAATTGGGCCAAACATTCATGGTTAAGATCATTTAGAGGAATGTCACATTTTTATGAAACTGAGGTTCTTTCTTTGTTTAAGAAAGGAAGATTTATAACTTCATTTGATAAGATAGTTCACATTTTCTGTAAGTATTTGGATGTGGCAACTGCGACATAGGATACCAAAGTGTAATGATTATTGGGTGAATCTTTATCCTAATTATGTTTCCCGAACAATTGAACATGGATACAATTATGGGACACTTCATTGTCTTGTTTTCTAGACAGCTTTGCTGAGCCTGGTATCCATGTGCGTATCTAGAGTCCCCATCTCCTTCACAGCAAATTTCTGGATCTTGAGTGCCAGAGGTACATGCCTTGAAGCCCACTCCCTGGATGGGCTTGTGATTGCTGATGGGGCATTTTTTGGTCACCACTCCTTGATGGCATAACAACCCTTCTCCCCACCATTCTTTGTGGGAGCCATTCTGCCTGTGCCCAAGCTGGAAAGGAAGAGCACTAGGGATTATAAGGTTCTGTTTTATGCATGAGGCAAAAATAGGATGGGGATGCTGATGACTAGGTAAGCAATAGTGATTTCTAAAGTTTTTGAGAGCTCTCTTTATGCCTCCATTTTCTGTTTGTGTCATGCAAAATAAAGGCTATTCTTCCTAGACATAGGCTTATTATTGGGTCATAACTTGAGTACAATTTTGATTAGTTTAATCCTAGAAGCTAGGGAGGCTGAAGCAGAAGAATTGTGAGACCAAAGCCAGTCTCAGCAAAAGCAAAGAGATGAGCAACTCAGTAAGATCCTGATTTTAAATAAAATACAACATAGTACTGGGAATGTGGCTCAGTGGTTGAATGCCAATGAGTTCAATCCCTGGTACCACCCGCCCCCCCAATTTTTTTTGTTTACTTAGTTTCTTGTCTTTCCAGACTGCATATATGAAATTGTTCTGATTCTCTTCCCTTAAAAAAATAGGGGGAAAAAAAAGAAGAAAAGAATGGACTCAGACATCCTACAAGTCTTCCAGAGAGAACTCACCTGCTCCATCTGCATGAATTATCTTATAGACCCAGTCACCATATGCTGTGGGCACAGCTTTTGTTGGCCCTGTCTCTGCCTTTTCTGGGAAGAAGCCCAAACTCCTGCACATTGCCCTATGTGCAGGGAGCCATCACAGCAGATTGACTTCAAGAGCAATATTTGTTTGAAGAATCTGGTATCCATTGTCAGAAAAGCCAGTGTCAGGCATTTCCCGAGCTCTAGGGATCACATGTGTGTGACCCACAAGGAGAGAAAGATCTTCTGTGAAGAGAACAAGACCCTGCTGTGTTTGCTCTGCTCCAACTCCCAGGAGCACAGGGCTCACAGACACTGTCCCATTGAAGAGGCTGCTGAGCAGTACAGGGTAAGTGATGCTTCTGAGATAGCTAGAGGGCAGGGTGACTAAGACTATAAGGCACAAGGACCATTGTTACTGAGTGCCATATACAAGTATAGGTAGCAGTGATAAAATTATGAATAAAGTATGTGATAGTATCTATATTCATGGAAACTGAGAGTGTGAGGAAACTAATTTATTATAACCTATTTCAATAACTTGATGATATGGTTTTACTGCTTAGGGCACTTTAAAGTTCTCATGGTTATAAGTGTCTAAACTAACAAAACTAAATGTTCTGCTGGATGTGGTGGTTCATACCTGTAAACCCAGCGACTCACAAGACTGAAGCAGGAGGATAATCAGTTGGAGAATGGCTTGGGAAAATTAAAATATATAATAACTTCTTAAAAGGACTGTTGATATAGCTCAGTGGCATAGCACTTTCCTAGCATACATGAGACCCTAGGTTCAATTGCTAGTATGGTGAGCAGGGAAGTGGTACCACAAATTCAAAGGGCTTTTATATAGAATATATTAGAATGAAACTCACAGAATATTAGTGTCATTAGATCCAAATTCTGAAGCAAATTGCCACACTACCTAAGAATTAACATTGCCCATGTATTTGCCATTTTCTCTAGGAAAATGGTTTTATTACATTGTGTGATTCCATAGTCTGAATCCCCTAAAATTGATAATTATCCACACCAAGCAGGGAAACCCTAGCCTCTGTGCTGCATAAAACTTTTTTTTTTTTTAAATATAAATTGCTTGAAATTCTTCATCATTGTGGGCCTGAAAACATAATCAACTTGCTTGTCCAGTGGTCAAATTTTGTTCTCTTACAGGAGAAGTTTCTAAAACTAATGAGATCTCTTTGGAAAAAGATCCAAGAAAACCAGAGAAATCTAAAAGAAGAGAGCAGAAAAATTAACCAATGGGTTGTAAGTATGAGAGTCTATTTCTCTCAGAATCAACCTAGGATAGGAAAGGTAGACATTTATTGATTCATCAAGTGAGTTGGAATCATCACAAAATTTTAGGAAGATCTTTCTTGATAGCTTCTACTTGTTGGAGTACAAAACCGCACTGCTACTCAGGGAGAATTGTTGAGCTATGGAGCAGGGAAGTTTGATATTATTGACCTATTTACTAACAAAAATGAAAGTGTTGCATACAATTATTTGTGAGTTATGCATGAATTCAAAATGGCTTGCATTCAGACTTTCTGATTTGAGAAGATATATACAGGAATTACCAATGAAAATCTTTCTTTCTGGTTGTTTCAACAAGTCACGAAGTAGATGAGTTTGAGAGAGGAGTGTTCTGCCTCTTAATATACTTAATGAGTGAAAAATAAATGAAGGGAAGAGAAGAATGAATTAATGGTTTATGAGAAATAGAAAGACACGAATTTATGTACATAGTTTACTAGCATAAGACATGAGTCAAAATGAATAGATGATGTTATAAAGTGGAGGAGAGTAAAGTTGACCTGATATTTAATCTAAGAAATTCGTGTCCTTGCAGTGGTATGTGCATCTGCACAGAGAGAATACCAAGGCAGCTTATAGGATGCTGCATCCCAGTGTCCATGAAGAAGAAAAAGAACATTTGGAGACACTTTTAAAGGAACGCAAATTGACTATACAGCAAATTAAGAAAAGCAAAGCCAAAATGCTTCAAAAAGGGAAACAACTAAAGAAAGACTATCAGGAGCTAATGAAAATGTGCCATAAACCATATGTGGAGCTGTTTGAGGTAAGTAATTGGGACATGACTGAAAATATTTTGTGTCTTGGCCACATTATTTGGTACCAAAGATATATTTATATGCATTCTGCATTTTTGGTGGGATCTTCCCCCTTTGGGAATAACAGACACTGTGATTTCATGCAGCAAGCAAGCTTTGTTAAATTGTGACAGTAGGTTCCTCAGGATATGTTTATTTCTGAAATTATCCTTTTGTAGGTTACTTCATTAAGAAATAGAAAGAAACCGGCTGGGGCTGGGGCTCAGTGGTAGAACACTTGCTTAGCAAGTGTGAGGCACTGGGTTCATTTCTTAGCACCACCCCTAAATAAGTAAATTAAATAAAGCTCCATCAACATCTAAAATATTTTAAAAAGAAATAAATAAAAAGAGCATTTTATTCATGGGTATTTCATTTTTGTCCAGCTGAGCAACATGAAGAAATCTGAAAATAGTTAACATTTATTACATTCTTTTTTAATTTGAATGTCCTTAGTTCAAATTGTCTTTAGCACATGTCACTATGTGAATAAGTCCTGCAAAAGATCTCTTTTCAGACAGTTGCTGGTTTGTAGCATTGCAGAATAACCCTCAGGGTTTTGAATTTAGCAAAAGTTAGATTCTTCTGTTTTACCTTTATGGTAGAAAATTAATTTACAAGGAGTGTTGAGGTGGTGGTTGTAATTTTTTAAGTTTCTCAAATACAAAGGCTTAATGGTAGAATAGCTAATTCTGATGAAATTTAAGCTTTTCTTTCTTTTTGTTTTTTTCTTTACAGAATTTAGAAGACACATTGGCAGAGTAAGTTTGACTTTTAATGCAAATTGGGGCACCACAAAGTCTGTGAATACCAATGTGTTTCTGACAATGAAGAAAGTACTTATTGAGATAATGTACATTTCCTCTATGTGTCTGTGTTTTACTGAATATGATTTCTTGTTCCCTTTTTATCAAAACTGAGCTTTTCCTTCCCTGGAGCTGAAGGGTGTAGTTTTTGCTGAACTTAAACAGAGGTTTCTAAAGACAGCTATTTATAATTTTAGATTTCAAGTCATAAACAAATTGAGTTACGTGGAGTAGTCCTTACCAGGTGATAGGTGAGAGAAGTAGGCAGAGAAAAAAGTAAGAAAGATTCCTTAAGACTAGAACAATCCTGATCTGGGCACAGTGAAGCAAGCCTGTCATCCTAGTGGCTCAGGAGGCTGAGACAGGAGGATCATGAGTTCAAAGCCAGCATCAACAATTTAGGAGACTCTGTCTCAATTAAAAAAAAAAAAAAAAAATGGGGGATGCTCTCAGCACTCCTTGGTATCAATAAAACAACAACAACAACAAAAACTAGAACAATCCTACCCCATGATTATGTAGTTACACTAAATGTCAGTGTTAGATCATTGTTAAGTGATGTAGGAACCTTTAGGATAAAACTCCTACATTAACATACTGTCAAAGTGTCCTTTCACTTATTTTCGCTAAAACTTTTGGAGAAATTTACAAAGACTCAGCCAATATCTCAAGGTCACTGAGGCAATCTAAGTTTTTCTTTTAGACCCATTACATCATTTAGCTGAGCAATGTTTTTTTTTTTTTTTTTTCCTGTCAGCCAGAAGTGTTTGCATCAGCTATCTTTATGTGTTCTCATCAGCTATCTTTACGTGTTCTCATCTGCCTTTTAAAACTTTTATCATGTGCTTGATGATCTCCACCTGAGAAAACTAAGGAATATATGCCATCTCTTCAACTTGAACTATGGATCCTTAATTGAGAATGTTCAGAAAGGTACATATTTTGGCTGGACACAGTGGTGCAGGCCTATAATCTCAGCAATTCAGGAGGCTTAGACTGCAATTCAGGAGAATGGCACATTCTTTGATGTCAGCCTCAGCAACTTAATGAGACCCTGTCTGAAAACAAAAAGGGTTATATATATAGCTCAGTGGTAAAGTGCCCCTAGGTTCAATCCATGGTACCAAAAAGAAAGAAAGAAAAAAACAACAGAGAAATGTACATCTTTTTCTTCCTTTTTATTCATGGGGATTTCAACAAGGGCCTCCTACATGTCAGGCAAGTTCACTGAGAAATATTCCCAGTCCAGAAATGTACATCCTAATGCAATGGCCCCCAAAGTGAATATGTATAGACTCCCAGAATAAAGTCCTCAAGCTTTCTTTCTTTGGAGAGAGCATTGCTTTTCAGACAACTCCCATCCTCTTCTTACTTCCTGTGGGCTATAAATATTTTTCCATTGTTTTATATTCTGGTGTGCTCCTTTTCATTAGGCTTCATTAGAATATGATTTTGATAAAGAACCTTTAGTTGAGCCATTACCATTATGTCTTAAACACTGTTTGAATCTATCATTGTTGAAGTCTTTGGTGCCAGAAAGATCAATTTATTTATTTTTTCCTTGCAGGTATGAGTTAGTGTTCCTGCACATGCCCCAGCCTGTGAGGCCACAGCTCAGTGCTCAGCCCATCACTGGACTGAGAGATGAACTTAACCACTTCCAAGGTGGGTGTCAGTCTGTTTGAGGGACAGCTACACTGTGCCCTACAATGATGGTTTTCTATGGGTAATCATTCCCTCTTCATTAATCGTTGACCTAACAAAAGTGATCAGCCTGCAACTAAGAATGCAAAACGTATTTATTGATGTATACCATGTTAAAATATGGAACAATGTAAAGAAAAAAACATAAATGAAATGTTGTATACAAGCTCTGTCACAAAAGTTTGAATTAAGGAAAGGAAATAAAAAGTCTCATTAAGCCCTAAAAGAACATTATCACATACAATATCATTTGTTCACTGAGTCACACTAATGGACTCAAGTCAAGACAATTTCAAGAGCAATTAATTATGATAATGGGTTTATTGAATTTAAATTTGTAAAAATGGTTTTCTTTAATGTAACTAGAAAAGTAACTAAATTTGTAATACATTACACTTGATATAATAAACAGTACACAAATATAAAATAATGAATTCACAGAACATTTTATGAACAATGATGAAGTAAGTCATCACTTGGTGAAGCAGTATATGGAACTCCATGGTAGACCTAACCCTGACAGGTTAGTTTAGCAGAAAATGGGTCAGATGGAACCAAAAGTAAAAGGCAGAAAATTCTTAAAACGGGAAACCAATTCTGTAATAAATAGATTTTCTTAAATATAAACTTGGTTTCTTAACCAGAATATTGTAATATCACTGATACATTTATGTAATTATGTAATAATAATCATATTATCTACTATCCATGATTACATTTATTTTTGTCTTTTTTTTTTTTTTCACAAGAGAGAGTAATGGAGGTTAATTTTATTGCTATGGACTTGAGAATGCTCAGGTCTCCAGATTTTCGAGTGTCATAAAAAATAAGCAGCAGAAGTAAGCTCTATAATCAATGAATTTTTAGGAATATTTTCCCTGTAGTTAATAAGTGTTCAGATTTACTGGTAGCCCTTGAATCTGATATTTTTCTAGCCAAAGCTTTTCCATTAATCTTTGCTTGTTTTTTCTTGTAAGTCTCTAAATCAACTCTCACCTTGTATGAACTGGGGCGGGGGGAAAGTCTGATTTTGGCTGAATTATTCTCTCTTCACAGTGAACATTTCCTTCCGTAATGAAATAAGCAGTCACAATGTAGTGCTGTGTGATGTGAGAAGACTGATGTTTGGAGAAGATGATGAAGATGAAGCTTTGAATTCTGACAGATCAAACTATTTTGCTGCATTGGGAGATCAGATCTTCACTTCTGGGAAACATTACTGGGAGCTGGATGTTTGTGGCTCCTGGAACTGGGCTGTGGGAGTCTGTAGGGATTCTGTGGTAAGGAAGAACCACACATTGCCTGAATTTGAGGACATGTTTCTCCTTTTATGTGTGAAGGAGGACACACATTTCAGTCTCTTGACCACCTCCGCAATATTTTCTCTCTATATAGAGAGACCGATGGGCCATGTTGGTGTGTTCCTTGATTTTCAAAGTAAAAGTGTGAGTTTTTTGAATGTTGCCAGGAGTTCCCTTATATGGAGATATCCTATTGAGTCCCTGAGTTTCCCTGTCAGGCCATTTATTTTCCACAGTCCACACATAATTAGGGATAATTCAGGAAGTTAACTTCTCTGCCTGAGAACTTCATATTTAAGGGACCCCTTCTCAGTTGAAGCAGAGCAATTACTATGACTATTTTTTATCCCTATCTTAATGTAACCTCATTTTATTCAATATGAAAATATGATACAATATGAAATTTTGTTTGCACAATTTTACTTTAATAAAACCATCTTTAGTTGCCTATAATATAAGCTGTTGTTGATTCAATGTTTCATGACCTTTGTGTGATTACGAAAACATGGGTTTGTGATTCCGAGTCTAGATTAATACAGGAACACAAGAGTTTGCATATCTACACAGATCTGGCCATCCAGAATGCATCTGTCAGTTTGAAATCTTCTGGAGCTATTCAATTCACCTTAAAGGGGAAAAGGTAGCATAGGTGTGTGTGTGTTGCCATCATGGTGGGCACATGTAATTTTTCACATTAACTTAATGAACAGGCATTGTAGCTCAGAAGAATGTCTGGCATTCAGGGTTTGACTCTATCAGGGGTGGGATATGGGGGTTCAAGATTTATGATCATTCCCCAGGGCATGAGACATGAGATGGGAAGATAGTGAAACAGAATACAAACTTGTACTCTCTACTGACTTTTCCATCTTGCCATGATACAATAAATACTCAGTTGATTTTTTTATGGTTGTCATGTCATACTCAATCATGTTTATGAATGTGTTTCTGCCATCAAATGTTCTTCCTGAATATATTGTAGAAATCAACAAATGTTTGTCAATAAAAAATTAAAATGTAAAGCTTGGTAGACTTTGTTGTCAGCCATACCCGGGAATGGGTGTTCACTATGTAGACTTGCCAGTTTTATTTCTTATCACTTCTGGTGAAAAGACTTAGGCAGTTTACATTTCTTGAACATTTATTGTGCAGCTTATATATAAATATATCCTGTATGATTTAAATACAAAAATACTTATACTGCTGTGCTTGGTGGAACATGCCTGTAATCCTAGTGACTTGGGATGTTGAAGCTCAATACCAGCTTTATCAATTTAGTGAGGGCCTAAACAAATTATCAAGAGCCTGCCTCAAAAGTAAGTAAGGGTTGGGGGTGTAGCTCAATGGTTAAGTGCCCTGGGTTCAATACTCAGTACCAAACAAAACAAGAAAACTACCTATACTACACTAATTATGAAAAAGAAGCTGAGCCAGGAGGAATTAAAGAGATGTGAAATAAGGTGATGTTTCCAAATGAGATTTCTTTAGGTTCTGTGTGTTCCCTCTCAGGTGAATCAGCTTAAGTGATAGACCAGCACTCATTCTAATGACTGAGTTCAGATAATATAATGCAAGTAGAGCTTACCCTAGTACCTAACAGAGTATCCAAAAAATAAATAAATATTGGCTGAAATATTAAAATATTATTAATAGAAATAATTAACTACTTTAGTTTTCTTTAGATGCATTTACTTCCTACCATTGGCTTATCTATGATGTCAAGTGCTACCAGCAAGCTCAGTCTACCTTCTTTATTCTCAGTAGGTGAAGTTGCAGCCTACACTGCTAGTAAGATGGAATTTATGCAGTTTCTTACATTCATGTTCATATTCATATATTTTTAACCTTGACAGTAGCTTCATTTCTGCATTTTAATCGTGCTCAGGAAAAAGCAACTTAAAGTTAGTTTAAATTTTTCATATAGAGTACATATTTATGAAAATGCCTGCCTTAGGCTTAACATGAATTGTTATGTTCTAGATCGACACAGTTTTTAGTATTTTAGTATTTTTCTTCTAACATTAGAATGAAAGCATAGTGTAAGCACATATTGTGCTAGCCTGAGGAAAGTTTCCAAAGTTCTGCTAACATAATAGGACAGGAAAATATTAGAGGATAATGTTAATGAAAGGCAAGAAATCAAGATTTCCAGTTTTGAATGTTAAGGAGGTCCCACTATTTTGAAACTTGAAATTATTATTTTATAGTATAATGTTGATTTTGAAATTTCCCCAGATATAAAATAATGTACCAGGGGAATATGAAGGTCCATAGTGATAAGAAAGCATAAAATTGGACTTAGAATGATGTAGACAATCAAGAATGAAATTGACATATTATTAAATCGCTAAGTCAAAGGTGCTGTAAATCTCCTTTATTGTGTCAAATACAAAATACTTTTATACTTTGAAGACAAATGTATATGAAAAAGAATATGTGTTTTATAACAAGTGAGATATGTCTGTTTTTTTTTTTTTAAAGAAAATATTTAGTGGGGGTATATCCATGAAAAAAATAATGAGTTGTGAAGAAATTATATCATTTATAATATGTTTAATTCCACCAAACTGTGGGTTCATTTCTCTATTTCTTGTTGGTATTGGAAATAGAACTCATTGGGTACTTTACCCCTGAGTCACATCCCCAGTCATTATTATTATTATTTTTTTTTGAAACATGGTCTTAAGTTGCATAGGGCCTCACTAAGCTGCTGAGGCTGACCTCCAACTGGTGTTCCTCCTGCCTCAGTCTCCCAAGTCACTAGGATTACAGGTGTGAGCATGTGGTCTGAGGGTTTTTTTTCTCACTGGTACTCAGTGTAAAGTCAAGTCTCTCATAGGATCTGTTAGGGCACAGGCCAATCAATGCTAATTTTAAAGGAATTGGCCAGTGTGTTGTTGTCATTTGTTTCTCCGAATATAGGAGGTGGTCAAAAGGAAGATTTTTAATAACTGGATTTTTAATTATGTATGCAAAAAAGGTCAATTTGTTGCCATATGCCATCCAGCAGAAAAGCTAAAAAAATATCCTGAGAAGCAAGCCACTGGAGAATGGCTTGGTGTTTTCTACATCCTTTATGTTTCCATTCTATTCGTTAAAACTTATCTTTTTGGCACACCCAGCTGCAAGATATTTCTGGGTATGCCGGATACACAATGATAGATATTTTATTTATTTAGAAAAAATAAATAATAATGGGCACAACAGAATATATACTCAAGAGTTCATGTTCAGTGCAATAAGGTACTTTTTTTTTTTTTAATTTCAGGGATTGAATCCAGGAGCTCTTAACCACTGGACCATAGTCTCTGTCCTTTTGTTTTTTGTTTTTGTTTTGGAACAGTATCTCACTAAGTTGCTGAGGATATCACTGCTGTGCTCAGGCTGGTTTTGAACTTTTGATCCTCTTGCCTTAGCCTCCAGAGTGGCTGGGGTTACAGGTGTGTGCCATTGCACCCAGCTGAAAGTAAGGTAGTCTTTAATCAGGGATTTGAGGATACTTTGAGTTGAAACCAGGAGTGTTTCAAGTGTGGGTAAACTCTGCTCTTCAACCTTGGTAATGTGTTGAGTGTTTCCTTATTATTTTCTAAGTAAGGGTCATATGGCAAGGAGCAGCTTACTTGTTTTTAATCTCTTAAATGGATGACTAAAACAGAAACGATTCTGCAAATTATGAGAATGCTTTACAGAAAGGTTTCCTTATTCTTACTCTTCAGACCAACTAGATTCCATAGTTGACTCTCTTCCTCCTGTTAATTTTACACAGTCCTTATTTAACTAAGTATATTATTGAATTTTTTCCTCACCGTGACCAAAATACCTGACAAGAACAATCTAGAGGAGGACAAGTTTATTTGAGCCTCACAGTTTGGTTTCAGAGATCTCAATTCATAGATGGCTGACTCCATTACTCTGGGTTAAGAGTGAAGCAGCTCTTCAGAGGGAGAGGGAGGCTGCTCCCTTTGTGGTAGCTGTAAGAAAGGAGACAGGGTGGGAGGAACTGGGACACAGGGAAGATGTACTCCAGGATAAATTTATGTATCTATTTAGTAATTTCTTTCCAGCCACTATAACAAGAACTTCTTACTCTAATGATGCTTCTGAAAATATTTAATTACATTTTAAAAAACCTTTTTGTGGTTCTGGAGATTAAACCCAAGAGCACCCTACAACTGAGACATTCCCTATCCCTTTTTATTTATTTATTTTTTTTGAGACAGCATCTTATTATACTGCTGAGGTTGGCATCAACTTTGTGATCCTCCTGCTTTGGACTCGGGAATCATTGGCATGATAGTTTTGCAGGATTGCATGAAGGTTTTTACATTTACTTACTACCTTTCAGTTTTGAAGACCTGTATCAGAATTATTATAACCTGGGATATAAAATAGAAAAGTAAAACCAAGGCAAGAACACTGGAATCCTTGACAATTACATCAAAGATAAAGACTCTCCTTGTTGTCTATTCATTTACTTCTTTTATTTTTCTTTTGGCAGAAATTTAATTCTTCAAAGAAATATCAATAAAAACTTATGGGGAAAGTGAAAGTAAAGTGACCACAACACTCAGAGCGACCAAGAGATCTTTATTGTAGCAGTGCAACAGAGGAGAAAAGAGAGAAAGAGAAGTGGTGGTGGGGGGGCGGCTGGGGAAGGCTTTTATAGCCCTTCTGCTGTGCTGCCTAAATCTAACAGCTTCTCTGGGTTTGCAACCTGCCTTGTTGGCACACAAGGGGGTTAAGTGCTTGGCCTTGAGTGGTGGGTTGAATGTCAGCCTTGAGCAAGGGGTTGAGTGCTCAGCCTTGAGTGGGGTTGAGTGTTCAGACTTGATGCAAACAGGTGATAAAGGACTAGACAGAGGGGGTTTGAGTGCGTGGGCTATCCTGCAGCTAATATATGTTCAGCCTGCCCTGCAGACAACACAGTTCAGCCTGTCCTGCACCTAACATTCCTCCCTTTTTGTTTTTCTAGGTGACATGAGGGCAGTGTAAAATCCTCTGGCTACTTCCTGCTTAATGGTGTTTGGCTTGGGACCTAGGAGGGAAAGTGGAGGAATGTTCGGGGGACAGGTCTGGGAATACCAAGGCAGCTAGAAATAATATCCAGTGGCTATAGACAGTTATTTTGGCAGGGACAAAGTCCATGAAGGTTCCTTGAAGCCATAGGTTGTCAACGGCAGGCATCAAACCATTTCTGAGCGGAGGAGATACGTGATATCTGTCATTGGTCCTGTCATAGGGACTCTAGGAAGTATCTAAGGTGGCTTGGT